AATTTGTGTGGTGGTTTTTTTTTTATTTTTGGCTACTTTTTATAGACTCAGCGGTGACTGCGGTCCTCTGATGTGGCAGTGATCTCCACGGCACTGACCCGTCTCTGTGGTCGAGACACACACACACACACACAAACACAGATCTGAGAGACGTGGGACAGATTAGAGAGGGCGACACAGGGAATGGTGACAGATTTAGCAAAAGTGAAAGTCGAAAAGACGGGTTGACTCAAACGGTAATGGTAATCATGGTGGGAACTGTGGCTTCACTAAAATGAAATAGACCAACGCAAACGGCTCTGGGAACCTGAGAACCATCGGAAGAACCAACAGCCAGCAGAAAAAAACATGGATTTTAACCACTTGGGAAGTTCACAAATGTTTACCTGCCGAAAACCACAGTACAACCGAAAATTTGTTCGCAGCCTTAATCGCACTGTAAGACAGGAAACTGGATCATAAATCACGTTCAGTCCCTAGAGAAAATCAACAATTTCAAACCAAAAGAGACACTGGAACTGTAAGTTCTCTGCTGCCTCCTGTGGTCAGTTTGTGTAATTAATTTAAATCTGAAACTGTGTGTGTGTGTGAGAGAGAGACAAGAAACAGCAAACATCAGCAGCTGCAGACGTAGAAACCCGATCCTGATAAAGAGCCTCAGTCTGCAGCTAAAACAACTTCACCTGAAGATGACGTTCACTTCATTATCTGCGCGACCGCAAAATCCACAGGCACGTTAAAACCCACTCTGTTAAAGCAGCATTGGAGGGGGAGCCGGTGGATGGAGGAGTACGGCCGAGTGACAAATGACTGTAAAAATAACCGCTCAAACTGTAAAACGTGGAATTAGAAGCATCTCAGCTGTGCTTGTTTTATGTTCCACACCTAACGCAGAGAAAATGCCAGGGTCGTGTTCCGCAGGCTCGGTTCTGATGTGGACTGTGTGGAAAAATAATATATACAGAACAAAAGGGAAACAGCGACAGTGCGGATAAAAAAAACAAAGGTAACTCGTGTATATACAGCTCTTTGCGCCTGCAGCTGGGACACAACAACAACAAATTATCTGACTGGTAAATAAACGATTTATTCAAAAGAAAACAATTGTTAAATATTTTCATAATATTTTTTTGAATGAAAATTTTCCGATTTGAATTTGCACTCAGATCTTCCCCCACAAAATTCAAATATTAACAAAACTCCCTAATACATGTGTGGCATGTGTGTCAAACTCAAGGCCTGCGGGCCAAATGTGGCCCGCCAAGTCATTTTGTGTGGCCCGCGGGAGCTTAAAAACTGTTTAACTGCCTTATAATAAAGTCTATGTTGCTGACTTTCTTAACTTGACAATTTTTTATTATTATTATTAATCTGCGACATTTCTAATATTTGTAACTTGAATTCATAATAATCAATTGCAGAAACATGTATTAATACATTACGACAGTGTTTCCCAAACTTTTTTTCTGGGGACCCATAGTTTAAAAGTCACAAACCTTCGCGACCCAAGTCAATAAAATAAAATGTCCGTAAGCTCCTGGGAAACATGAAGCCAGACGACCCTAAAAAAAAAAAAAAAAAACTCTTGCGACCCACCTGAGGGTCGCGACCCAGTCTTTGGGAAACAATGCGTTACGGAGTAGTTTCATATATACAGTCTTCTATTTACAACTGGCCCTTCATTGGGAACTGTACTGCTAATGTGGCCCCCTGGTCTAGCGCTGCCTCCTGTGGCCAATATGTAGTACTGACATAAATCTGAACAAAGGGTCTCAAGTGAAGATACAGAATGTATAGAGTATGTTTGAACTGTACTTTGGTCCACTCCACAAATAAAGTTGGACTGTATTGGAAAGTGATGGAGACAGCAGTTGGTCCCCGACTCTCTCTCCATCGACATTGGTGCAAAAATGAGACAAAACAATGTTTGTTTTGTGTCAGCGGTTTTCCACCAAAATGTCCACATTCTTCCCTTTCACAGGTGTGGCTGCTGTGGGGAGATATCAGACAGTGTTTATACTGTACTGTACTGTGTGTTAGTTCCTACACAGATGACTTCTGTGCTGTCAAAATGTGTGAGTCATAGCGTCTGTTGAGACGTCCACCGCAGCACTGTCATACCTAGGCTCCTCCAGACATGTCTGTAGTGTCTGAGGTGTGTGTGGGTGTATGGGTGGGTGCGTGTGTGTGCAGCTAAAAGTCCCGTCGTCCTCAGTTACACCTGTAAAACCCCCCCGTCCCCCAGACTTCTACCTCTAATCTGACGGATCAGGAGCGAGTGAAGACACAACACCTGCAACACATAAAGGTCCTGTTTCATACACGTTGGTCTTCTCAATTATTTGCTGTCATGACCCCCTCCCCCTTGGGGACAGAAATGTTTTAACCCTTGTACCCTCATCCGACCCACAACCCCGCGAATTGAAATACTATTGAGAACCTGATAACATGTATATTTTTATCTGTACAAACCACTGTATGAGTTGCTGCCACCTAGTGGCTGGAGGCTTGTTATCATTCATGCATTACAGCAGTGGTACACGTCCCCCCTGGGGGGCCCGCCCCACTAATTGAGAAATACTGCTCTACTGTGAGAACTTAATGGAAGTATTAGTCATTAGCAGCCTACTGTCAATACATGCCCATATTTATATGCAACAGGTGGATGTTGGATAAAGTCAGAAATATGAACCTTGGGCTGAATTAGCAAACTGTAGATTATATGAAGCTTCAAGGATCAGACTAAATATTCTCAATATGAAATGGTGCAGAAATTGTGATTTAAAGGACCCGGATATTAATAAATAAACAGTAGACGAGAATAAATTGACTAGACTATAATGAAAAAACAGGAAACAGTTCTGTCTTGACTTTTAACAGTCAACATTTTTTCCAATTACAAGTAGCTCAAATTGTTTATTCAAGTTAGAAAAACACGGAAATAAAGCTAATCTGCAAAGTTTAACACTTTGATGTAGCTTTTTAACAAGTTAGAAAAACACGGAAATAAAGCTTTGATGTAACTTTTCCGCTTTTTGTGCCAGTCCGTAGGTCATTTGAGACCAGGGCGCAGTGGGACACAGCGAAAAAATGTACTTCAGTTTTACTAATTTACTTCATTCCAAAAGAACCAAGAATGTTTCAAAACAACAGGTCATTCAGGCTCTGATATTAACAGAAGAAAGTCTAGAAGAGGTTTGATTTTGAAAATGTAATTTTCCTTTAATGATTACCAGTCCGCCATAAAGGCTGATAGACTTGGCCTTGGTACAAAAAAGGTTAAAATTATATATTTTTTAATTATAAACACTATATTTAGGAACACAGCCAGTTTCATGAACACACTGTTCCACCAGAATACTTTTGTTTCACCTAGTAGTATTAGATAATAGTAATATTAGTGTGTAACCAAATGTAACCCATCTCTATACTGACATTCTAGCATCTACAGTGACAAAAATCAGATAATGTTATCACATCGCAGGTGGCCACTGCAAGAATCTCCGTAATTCCCTGGTAGAAAAAACACTTGTGGGGCAATTTGGTTGCACAAACCTTCTCAAACAACCCCTGACATCAGAACTGCATAAAACCTCCAGAGTTCCAGTCCGGTCTAGTCTGCCAGGGAGGGGAGTCACCGAAGGACAAACCCTGAAAAATGCAACATCAGCTTACAACATAATCACATGGTTGCCTGAACCAAAGTTATCGCTGCACACTGCTTCTTCTAAAATAGACCTCGCTGACCTCACGCACGGTTTAATTCCTTCATACTTCAGACTTCCATCAACAAACAAATGAGCGGTGTGGAAAACCAAATTTCCCTCGAAGACTCGGGAAACATCACTCCATTTCCATCAAATGAAATCCCATATTTTTATTCCCTGCTCCGCCAAGTATTTCAGCTCCGTGTGACACGGTAGCACAATTCCCCACCACAGCATCCATTTGTGATCGTAATTACCACGCTTTGCTTCCATACATCATCATAATTATAAGGGTAAAAAAACAATTTTGGACATGGACAGAAATACGCATCATTGTTGCGACCGGATGATTCTTTCCAGGAGCATCATTAGCTTTTGTCGCGCGACAACAAACACGACCTTTATTCGCCGTGATTCGTCTGAGGAATAATTACAGAGCGTAAAACAGAGCTCTGAGTCAGAGTCTGAATGAGGCCACAGCTGGAAAACAGGTGGCAGCAGCAGCAGCACGTGTGCACAGAGAGACAGTTGTGATTTATCAGGGACAGTCACAGTTTGAAAAGTGAAGGGTAAGAGTGAAGTCATTCCTCCCCAAGTTTTATCTCGGTGTCTGCTGAATTTGCACATTTTTTTTCCCAGGTGCAACATGCAGAGAAAGTTGAGAAATATCTATATATAAACAATAGAACCAATGATTATATTGATAATCATTAACTGAAAGTGTATTTAATTCATTTGAAGTTAATCCCTCTCTTTTGGAAGTGCTGAGCACATTCCTCGGTAAAGGAAACAATATGGCTGACAAATGATGGAGGAAAAGAAAGAAAAAGAAAAAGAAAAGAAAACTGTCTATTGCCAGAAAAAAAAGTTTGGGTTTGTGCGTTGCGCGTAGGGGAAAATTCACTTCATGTTCAAATGAATTAGTGTGATGTCAGATAAAACAGTGAAAATGCCCTTTATAACTGAAAAACACACATGCACACAGTATATCAATTTGAATTTTGCTGATCTGTTTAAATGGCAGATAAAGAAAAATTAGATAGATAGATAGATAGATACTTTATTGATCACAGAGGGAAATTGAGGAGATGCAGTTTTGAGTCAGTAAAGAATAGACTGGTCAGATGTTTTTACTAACACCGGGAGCCATCTAGTGGTCAAACTTTGCAACAACTACTTTGGTTTTTCTTCTACAACGCAAGAACATACAAGCTGTGGGTAAACAGTTATTTTTCTCTGTGTGGGGATTCTGGGACACACCAGAGAACAAGTTTACGAAGACAAATACAAGTTTAGAAAAAAATACAAATGCAAGTTTAGAAAGATAGATTTATAATTTTGAAATTTGAAATTCTGAGAATAAAAGACCCGATGATGCAATAGGAATTTAAAATGTTAATTAGTAAATGCAGCCGGGGCGGGGCAGGTTCACACATACATAGAGAAATGGACAGGGTGATTCCCTTAAGATGACAATTTTTATTATTTAAACACAACATGCAGCAGTCTCTAAAAAAACATACATGCTAAAACCCACCTTTAATTTATAATAAGCTAAAAATACACAATTGACAAATACAACAACAATAAAAGAGAAGACAGTGAGGTACTCACCCTGCTCCGTGCCCAACGCATGCACACGACAAGAATAACCAAAATACAAAACTGTAAAAGACGTGGAAAGTTAACACAACGCACTTACGCGGAGTTTGGAGCTCAGGTGAGAAACTACGACACACCCCCCAATCACCAATCCTGCAGCACGCACACATAGAACAAAGAAAGAGAAACAATTGTTGTTAATAGCTACAAATAACTGCTGCAACAAACTCAAGAAACAACAAAGTTGTGCAGTTTTGCACAGTGCCCTCTAGTGGCAGGAGGGGGGAATGATCTGTCACATGGCATACTACTGTATTTTTACACGGTCACATAAAGACAAAACTATAACGTCAAAAACAACGAAATTATTTTTAAGTCATAGTAATTTACTCTTTATTTATTAATAGTTAATATATAATTGTTTTGGTGTCTTTGTGCGTCTTTAAATTGTACGTTTTATCTTGTTTTCCTTCGTTTTATTATCTTAAGATTTGGACCTTTTTCTCATATTTTAAAACCATTTTAAACGTCTTGGCACCCCTCTGTGGGTACGGTGCGCTTTTTGCACGCCCTGTGAAAACGGTAGTCTATACTTTTCGGGTACACTTGTGAAGATGTAGTACGGATCCAGTAAGGTGGAGCTGACTGCTCTCCAGGCTTTGATTGGTCGAAAGAAAATCGTCACAACTGTGCGACAGGATGTAACCGGTATCTGACATTTTTACAATCAACAACGTATAACTCTCCAACTGGAACGAGAACTCCGTTATTTAAATTTTGCTAAATGGATCCGGTGTGTAGTGAGCCGTGGTCCTACTCGGAAGTGCAGACGTTCCTACAGATCATCGGCGATGAGGAGGTGCAGAGGAGCTTATACGGCGCCGTGAGAAACGGAAAAGTTTTCAGACAGGTGTCTGAGAGGATGGCAGCTCGGGGCTTCTACCGTTCCCCCGACCAGTGCCGCATAAAATGTAAGAAACTCCGCTGCGAATACAGAAAGGCAAAACTACAGAACGAACAGAGCGCTGCAAACAGAAAAACATGGAAGTGGTTCAATTTAATGGACGCCTATTTTGGTCACCGAACGGCTTTTGTGGGACTGGAAGGTGAGTTTTTGTCACGTCTGTGACAACAACCGTTGTTTTTTTTTAGGATTCGTTTACAACAACACTGGAAAGATGTGATTTTTCTTTCTACCTTAAACAACAAATACTGTTTTCTTTTAAATACAATTTCGGAGGCTTGAGGTTAAATGACGTTTTGTTTTTACACGAGTTCCCATGTTATTATTATGGCTATTTAATAAATACTCATATGTGATGTTTGCATTGTGCAAACAGGCGAAGTTCACAAACGCCAAGTATTTGTAATCTTTGTCTTAAGTGTCTAGGTCATATTTGTTTGTTTTGTTTTTTAATATTCTCTTTTTACGCTATTATGCTGTATTATTTTTATAATGGATAAGTATGTAATATTCTTTAAATTAATATGGCTTGTCTTAGTTTTTTAAATAATAAAACGACATTGAAATTAACACGTTTTGGTTAAATATACGTTGCAGGAAACACCAATTCGCTACCATGCTGCGCTTGCGCAGAACAAATTGGCTTTAGCGGCTAAGGCTATTTAGCCATTAGCGTAAAGCCCGATCCGACGGTGTGTCCGATTCAGAAGATATGACTACATGGTATTCGGGTTCGGGTCGGGTACCTCTTTTGGTTGAATACTTCCAGGAGAACCGATAGTTATGTCCTTTTGTTATGTACTGGCCCGGTCGATACCTTCCACTGTGGATTTATCTAAGTCACCTGAATGCAATACACTTCTCACGGTTAACCGCCCATAATCTGTTCCATTTCAGTTAATGATGGAGGACCCAAAACAGAACTTGGCCACAGGGAAGTTTAAAATCGCTGAAAACCGCACGAGGAAGTCAGCGGTGTGGCGACACTTTGATTTGGTGGTAAATTCAGAAAATAACCAAGCCAGTGGGTTTGTACTGTGTAAAAAGTGTGGCAGACTGATGAAATACGACAGTAAGAAGACGGGGAATTCACCCTTGCAGCGACATGCGAGCAAAGGCTGCAGAATGGCGGCAGGTGATGACGGCAGATAAATGTGTTAATTTAAAACCAGTGCAGTGATAACTTTGTTGAAACAGAATTTATTCCTGGAACAGGTTGTAATAGTAGTTGTAGAAGAAGTACACGGACACCAAACAAGGCCGCGGTCAAGGCAAGTGTTCAAGTACCTCCCTTTTTTGGGAAAGAAAAGGGAAGTATTGTACACTGTATAACACCGTTCTTACTATTACGTTTCTATAAAATATAAATTGCGTTTACTTTTTATTGTTTGTATTGTATTGTTTAAATATATCACGCATTCATTAAAATACTTTATTCCAAGCGTATCCTGATTTTATGTCTTTGGAAAGGAAATCCCATGGGTTTGTTTTGTGCGCGTGCGCAGTAGGTCTTTAATACAGAAGACCTGTATAAGACTATATTTACATGTCGAGCTTCAATTTTACAAATGGTGACATTACGGGAGTGTTAGTAATGAGATCAGAATTAAACATATCTGAATTAAAATCCTCACATCAAAATGTAAATAAATGTATCATTATGTGTATGTGTGGTTTACTTAAGTTTAGATAAAATGTTACATGTTATGATATATTTTTTAGAAATTACAAGTGTTAAAATGAATTTCCATCACAGTGGATAACTTTTCTTTTCTCTGTTCTGAGCTTTAGGAAGGTCAAAGGAGACTTGTGTGCCTGAACTGCCTTCAAAAACAGCCTCTTCCTTACACAGTGCGTACACAGCAGTATTCCACTGTGGCACATCACGACGCATGATGCTATGTAGAAAATTTGACCGTGTTGTGTTTTCCAGTTTCTGACAGCACTATTGGCCTGTTACCACATAAAGAAGATCCAGTGAGTTAGCAAATTCTTTTTAGTAACGAAACCCAAAAAAAAAAAACAGTGTATGATACAAGTTGTACTTCACCTTCAGGATGAGGGTCCGTTTATTGCAGACGATGAAGCTGAGGAAGGAGAGGAAGAGCAGCTCATGTCCATGAACTGCACAAGGTTTCAGGTATCTGTCCATGATAAAAAAAAATCTCATATTTCAGAAATGATAGGTCACAGCATGAATTTATAATTAGGATCAGGATGGAGGGAATCCTCTGAAATATTCACATTGTGTAAAACAATTTGTTTTGAAGGAACCTCAAGCTACAAGTAAACTCTACACTCTGCACCTCAGAAAACAAATCGAACTGACAGAAGCCACCACAAGGGTGAAAAGGAAAAGACTAGAGGAGCTGGAGCTGGACCTGGAAATTAAGAGAAAGACACTGAGGAAACTGGAGCTGGAGATTATGAAATTGGAAAGAGAACTTTGTGAGACAAGGTGAAGTCACAAATGTAATTTCTATCGCACAGTATTATACTTATAATAGCTTTCTTCTTTCCTCTGTTGAAACCATGTACTGAAAAATAAAAAAAATAAATAAAAACATTCAAAATGTTCTGGTCCGCACACAATTTTAGTCAGTTACACATTGGAAAAAGAATGAATACAATGTTAATTTTTATTTGAAAATGCATGAGAAAGGGTGAAATAATGTTATTTATCAGATTAAATAAACAGATTTTGCTTATGACTCAAATTCTCATGCAACATTTTTCCACAATTTGATTAATATTCTTAGAAAACTGTTGGTTTTTGTTGGGTAATTTGAAATGTTTTGTTTTATTTTTAATTTTGTGTAACACTAACTACTAACTTTTACCCATCTATTGGCTACTAACAGATTTTCAAAAGCAGGAAATGCAATGCCTACAATCATTATATATATATGTATATATATGTATATGTATATATATATTCAATTGGCATTAATTTCCCCATTATTAAATTTAAAAGGCAGTTACAGATTAAAACCAGGTTTAATTATCCAGAAACCTGACAGGTGAATGGGTTTGAAGGTTAATGTCAAAGAAAGAAAACTTTTTCATTGATATTTGTATTTATTTTATTTTGGATCAAGGTTATAGAAAAAAAAGAGAGAGAAACCAGTTTTAAGCTTTAAATCTAATTTGTAGTTCAACATTAATTATTTCAAAACAGAACAAAAAGAGAAAATAAGTCAATATTTCAGAAGACAACATACAAGAAAGCAAGTCCAAAAACACCAAAACGATCAAACTGAAATTCACCGTCACACTAAAAAGACTGAATGGGAATGTTAACAAACTCACACCTGTCAAGATTTCTGAAATCACTAGAATCAAAAAATATTGGTTAAAATCCACATCACACACTTTCACATTCATATAAACATTCAGCAGAGTCCTTTGACCCTGATGTTTTACGTAAACAGACGTGTCGTTAATCTTTAGAGATTACCTTTGAGACGGTCGGCTCTGTAATCCATCTGCCCCTTAAACAGGTTAGATGGGATTATCCAAGACGACTACAGCTATCACTGACTCTAACCTGTTCATCCACTTTTGCCAATCTACAGATTAGGTAACGATTAATGACGAGATATGAAGAGTGAGTCGTCTTAAAGACAAAGTAGAACTAAGATATGCTTCATAACAACCAAAACCAGAATAAATCTTCACCATCTTAAAGTCTGAAGAATTTGTCTCATAATCATATTTCCTCTGCATTGAAAATCGACATTTTTTTCAGTGCAAGGAATGCCAAGGATTTGGTATAGTGCCGAAAACCTTTTTTGGTCAGACCCACTAGATGAGTATAGTACCTGGAACCGGTACCATATGTATGCATCTATCTCAGAAAGAAATATGAAGCTGCGTGAGTGTCAAGTACTAAGTAAAGTACCAGGAATTTTTGTTTAAAGAATAAGAAACCTTCATTTTGAGTTCTGTTTAAGAGACCAAGAACTAAACGGTACCAGACTATTTTTTGTGTCCATTAAAAACCCTCACATGGTTATAGGACTCTACTTTTGGGACTTTTTGGTTCTACCGAGACTAGAAGATAAGAGTAAGAGACACTGGGATCTTTGTAGTTATTTTTCCTAAAACAAAGAGTCTAATTTACACAATGTAAACTAAACTTTTAATTCTGTGAAAACAGAAACTTAGTTGCCTGAAAAAAAGTTCCTGGTGTGACATGTTCTTGGTTCTTGGTTCCCCTACCCTGGATGCCTTCAGTTGGTCTTGGTCATGCTCTTGGTCTTCAGCTCGGCCAGTTTGTTGGTGACAAAGTTCCACTTAAAGGACGCATCCTCGCCTCCTCCTCCTCCCCCTCCTCCCAGGGAGACGTATTTGGAGAAGCTGTTGTTGCTCCTCCTCCTCCTCCTCCTCCCAGAGAGACGTATTTGGAGAAGCTGTTGTTACTCCTCGCTCCTTCATTTTCCTCCTCTGCGATAATCCGACCATCGCCCTGACTCCCTGCCTCTGAAATCTCCATTTCACCGTGACCTTCTGCCGCCTCATTTACGGCACCTGCGGACGCCGCCGCAGCCTCCGCCTGCTTCTTCGCGGCCCAATTTGTTGCAAAGCTATCCCAGAATCCTGTGCGTCTGGTGGGTCTCGGAGGTTCCTCAGGCCTCACGGCCAGTGGACTGTAAGGGATATGTACAAACACTGAGGACTGGACTACAACCATGCTATAAAGAAAACACATAAAAAGTGAAAACTATCTGGCTCTTAACTTATTTTCTTGTTTGCGTGTTTAAAATCATTTTCATTAGAATGACATGTAAAAGTCATGCATAAAGGCTAAAATGCATTTATCATTTTCTACGCCATCTATTGGGAAAACGTGGGTATTGCAGGGAAAAGGCAGAAGTATAATGATAATATAAATACATTATATGATTTGGAAAAGTTTGGCGGGCCGGATTAAAAAGCTGAACGGGCCGCATCCAGCCCCCGGGCCTTAGTTTGCCCATGCCTGCTATTAAGCGTTGTGAACATACCTTCCTTCACCAAAGTTTGTGGAGAACATCTCCACTGATTATGATGCAACTTTAACAAACTTTTACAAAAAAAAAAAAAAGGTATCAATAGACCGGTTCCTGTCTCCCTCTGAGCTAAAAGTGATGACTTACTTTATGGACTTTGGTTCTAGAGGAATGCCACTTGTAAGAAAGAAGAGGAAAGAAAGACAATAACATGCACGAAGGGAACGGTTTGGACCTACTGGTCAGGAACTGGTGGAGTCTCCGTCTCCTCCAGGAGCTGGTGTTCGTCGTCTTTGTTGAAGAGAGCTGAGAGTTTGGTCCAGCTTTTTGCCCCGGCTCCTTGCATCTGATTCATAAAAAACCAACACGTAATGCTGACTTTGCAAATAATTCAGGACCTCGGGGGTGAATTAGTCATTTTGTCTCAAACCACCTGCACCAAACAAGGGATTTCTCTCTAGGTTTCAAGAAGAAGTCGTCAATCAACCGACTCATCATTCATTAAGTTCAGCTGTGTTGTTTGTCCTGTCTTCACATTTAACGCAGTGAAACAAACTGACCACAGGGGGGTGCAGCAGACCACTGTGTCCTAATAGGCTATAAACGTCTCTAGAAATTAGTATCAAAAATAATGTTTCTAATTTCTAATCCAATGTTCAACTTCCAGCCACTGAAGATTGTCTTTGAAAAAAAAAACAAAGATGGGATATTTAAACATTTATTTATATACTGAATAGATATAATGATAAACATGAATCACTGTTGACCTACTTTCTTGGCCAGTTGGGAGACAGCAGTAGGCCCTTCATCCTCCTGCACTGGTGTCATGTCATTCTCCGCCTCTATGGCCTGCTAGAGCAAAAAGCATATGATAGAAACTGGGAAAGTAAACAGCAAAATATTATTTTTAAAATATTAATATGTAAAAACACACATCTGACAGAAACGGCATTTGTGCACCATCTAGTGACCGACAGTGGAAAGGGCAATTTGATTGGTAAGTCTCAAAGGGATAAACTTTAATGCCATGATAACGTATGAGAAAGAGACATTTCGGCCCTTAAACAATAAGTTTTGATGAAAAAACAAATGTACATCAGATTAAATCTAAAATATCTTTGCAAAACAATTTGTCTTTCACTACAAATTCCATACAGAAAATCAGTGGCTGCAGCCAATAGTTGTTAAGTGGTTTATTGTGTACTAGAGCCTGGTGTTTCTAATAAGTTTGTGACAGTAAAAAAACTGCAGTACTTCTCAAATAGTGGAGCAGGCCCCCCTTGGGAGTGACGCGGTGAGGTGCCAGGGGGCCCGAATGGCTTCCAATGGGATATACTGCAAGTGTACCACTGCTGTAATGCTCGAATGATAACAAGCCTCCAGCCACTAGGTGGCAGCAACTCATACATCAGTTTGTACAGATAAGAATATACATGTTATCAGGTTCTCAAATAGTATTTCAATTTGCGGGGTGTGAGTCGTTAGCGCCATGAAAACATTTCTGTCCCCAAAGTAATTAAGAACCACTGCTTTACTGACATATAGGGGGCAGTAGCGGCTACTTGGAAAGGGGCGACGACATACTGATAACTTGCAAAGTGATGCGTTGCAGCTCCTTGCTTTATTTTCTTATCTTAGATGCAGTCCAGGAACGGGGGCGAGTTCAGTGAGTTGCCCTTGGGTTATCTGTCTGCTCCTCCTGTCAGTGGAACGCCAACTAATCCCTATGTTCAACTCTTGTGCTGGATCAGGTTTCCCAGTCCCTCAAAGATCTGGGTCAAGGCGGGGAGGTCTGTTATCCGTACCAAACACTGGAGAGTGGATGTGTACGGCCAACCCAAAAGATGCAAGATGGCTCTCCGAGAATTAAGAGGAAAAAAAGATCCTGAAACACCCTAGTGTATTGTATTGTGTATTGTATTAAAATGTATGATTTTCTCTGTAGGCTTTGGTTTGAGGAAGTGATGTTATTGACAATCATTAGAAAAGTTCAATAATGATTTTTGGCAGCGCCTGATTTCTAAGAGGAAGCCGAATATCGGCCTCCGCCTTCTGCCTTTTGGTCAGATCCTGTTGCACAGAAAATACCACAGCTGATGATAGTGAGGTCACATGACAGCTGGATAAATAAAACATGACCTGCAAAACAAAACCGTGACTTGTGACTTGACCTGGAGACAGGCGCCAACTTCACCAAACAGTTTATGTGGAGTTATTCCACAGAAGTTTTGGGTTTAAAGCCTGGTTGGGCGCAAACATGAAGTTATCCATTAGAGGGCGGACGCTGTGCTGGGTAACGGGTATCTACAGTTAGCGTAGGACTCACAAGCAAGGCACTTTTCTGCTGCTATTTAATGTCCGGGCTTACATAAACCACTGCAAACTCCACTTTTACTGTATGACTTGATTTGTGATTAATTGGACAAAAATGATTTGATCGTATTAAAGGTCCATTCCTAAATAATTGAGAATCGATTATAATATTATGTGCATCGTTTAAAAAACACCAGTTTGATATGAAGAGTGAAAGAGAGCTGCACTCTGTAACAAAAGTTGACCAAAAGCATCCAGAACGATATTCAAAATTCAGACAAAATGAGCTCGGAGAATGTTAGCATACAACTTGTGAACTAAATTTTACTTAAAAAAAAAAACTCAAAAAAAAGTTTGCCCGAATAGGTTTGTGGTGTTTTGGTTTACCATCAGCCACATTAAATATTGGATTCTAACAATTCTGACAATATCGTGATCCTGACATGGACCAGACAAACGTTGGTTTTTTTTTTTGGTTTTTTTTGTGAAGTGAATAAAAATTGTTTTCCAGGGTCTCTAGTTGACGTTTCAGATTGTCCCTTTAAGAGATTCCTCAGGGGCCTCCTCAGCCCTACAATATGGTGCAGGTGAAGGAGTTCAGTGTTTACCTCTTCAGCAACCTCCTCTTCATACTCAGGATTCAGGGTCTTCAGGACTTTGCTCTTGTAAACCTTCCACATAGGATTCATACTTGCTCTAGTGTTGCGTGGAGCTCTGTACCAGACCTGGGAGTCAAGATCTCCCTCCTCCTTCAGCTCCTGCTCCTCTGCCGACTCTCTGCTCCCAGCTTCAGTGGAACCAGACGCGAAATGCTACCATGAATTCACGTCCTCGGCACTTGCGAAGGATCGGCACCGAGGTCTGAGATGTTCCTGGGACTGGTTCCTCCTCGTCTTCGTCCTCAGTGGTTGGACACGACCTGAGCAGGTGAATCTCGCTGAAACAGTGGTGCAGGTGTGCACACAGGGCCACGTGCACGTACGTGTGTGCACGTCAATTCAGCACCACAGCCCAGGAACGGGTGTGGATTTCCCCTCATTCATATTTTAAAGCAGCTCTTTTCCACTGTTGGACTGACTCCTGTAACCCTGACGTACTTAATTAAAGTAGCAATCAAACATCTTACCATAATGCAGTACTTCTCAAATAGTGGGGCGGGCCCCCTTGGGGGAGCGTGAGAAAAGGAAAGTGAACTCCTTGTCATTGTGACACACCACTGCACACAACGAAATTCAACCTCTGTTTTTAACCCATCACCAAAGTGAACAGTAGGCAGCTTTGAGCGCCCGGGGAGCAGTGTGTGGGGGCAGTGCCATGCTCAGAGCACCTCAGTGGTAGCAGCTGGTGGACTCGAACCTCAAACCTTCTGGACCCAAGTCCACTTCTTTAACCACTAAGCAACACTCCCCTAAAGGGGGGTGGTGGGGGCTCCCAATGGTATATGGCACTCTGGACATAAGTGTACCACTGCTGTAATGCTCGAATGATAACAAGCCTCCAGCCACTAGGTGGCAGCAACTCATACATCAGTTTGTACAGATAAGAATATACATGTTATCAGGTTCTCAATAGTATTTCAATTAGCAGGGGTGTGAGTCGTTAGCGCCATGAAAACATTTCTGTCCCCAAAGTAATTAAGAACCACTGCTTTACTGACATATAGGGGGCAGTAGCGGCTACTTGGAAAGGGGCGACGACATACTGATAACTTGCAAAGTGATGCGTTGCAGCTCCTTGCTTTATTTTCTTATCTTAGATGCAGTCCAGGAACGGGGGCGAGTTCAGTGAGTTGCCCTTGGGTTATCTGTCTGCTCCTCCTGTCAGTGGAACGCCAACTAATCCCTATGTTCAGCTCTTGTGCTGGATCAGGTTTCCCAGTCCCTCAAAGATCTGGGTCAAGGCGGGGAGGTCTGTTATCCGTACCAAACACTGGAGAGTGGATGTGTACGGCCAACCCAAAAGATGCAAGATGGCTCTCCGAGAATTAAGAGGAAAAAAAGATCCTGAAACACCCTAGTGTATTGTATTGTGTATTGTATTAAAATGTATGATTTTCTCTGTAGGCTTTGGTTTGAGGAAGTGATGTTATTGACAATCATTAGAAAAGTTCAATAATGATTTTTGGCAGCGCCTGATTTCTAAGAGGAAGCCGAATATCGGCCTCCGCCTTCTGCCTTTTGGTCAGATCCTGTTGCACAGAAAATACCACAGCTGATGATAGTGAGGTCACATGACAGCTGGATAAATAAAACATGACCTGCAAAACAAAACCGTGACTTGTGACTTGACCTGGAGACAGGCGCCAACTTCACCAAACAGTTTATGTGGAGTTATTCCACAGAAGTTTTGGGTTTAAAGCCTGGTTGGGCGCAAACATGAAGTTATCCATTAGAGGGCGGACGCTGTGCTGGGTAACGGGTATCTACAGTTAGCGTAGGACTCACAAGCAAGGCACTTTTCTGCTGCTATTTAATGTCCGGGCTTACATAAACCACTGCAAACTCCACTTTTACTGTATGACTTGATTTGTGATTAATTGGACAAAAATGATTTGATCGTATTAAAGGTCCATTCCTAAATAATTGAGAATCGATTATAATATTATGTGCATCGTTTAAAAAACACCAGTTTGATATGAAGAGTGAAAGAGAGCTGCACTCTGTAACAAAAGTTGACCAAAAGCATCCAGAACGATATTCAAAATTCAGACAAAATGAGCTCGGAGAATGTTAGCATACAACTTGTGAACTAAATTTTACTTAAAAAAAAAAACTCAAAAAAAAGTTTGCCCGAATAGGTTTGTGGTGTTTTGGTTTACCATCAGCCACATTAAATATTGGATTCTAACAATTCTGACAATATCGTGATCCTGACATGGACCAGACAAACGTTGGTTTTTTTTTTTGGTTTTTTTTGTGAAGTGAATAAAAATTGTTTTCCAGGGTCTCTAGTTGACGTTTCAGATTGTCCCTTTAAGAGATTCCTCAGGGGCCTCCTCAGCCCTACAATATGGTGCAGGTGAAGGAGTTCAGTGTTTACCTCTTCAGCAACCTCCTCTTCATACTCAGGATTCAGGGTCTTCAGGACTTTGCTCTTGTAAACCTTCCACATAGGATTCATACTTGCTCTAGTGTTGCGTGGAGCTCTGTACCAGACCTGGGAGTCAAGATCTCCCTCCTCCTTCAGCTCCTGCTCCTCTGCCGACTCTCTGCTCCCAGCTTCAGTGGAACCAGACGCGAAATGCTACCATGAATTCACGTCCTCGGCACTTGCGAAGGATCGGCACCGAGGTCTGAGATGTTCCTGGGACTGGTTCCTCCTCGTCTTCGTCCTCAGTGGTTGGACACGACCTGAGCAGGTGAATCTCGCTGAAACAGTGGTGCAGGTGTGCACACAGGGCCACGTGCACGTACGTGTGTGCACGTCAATTCAGCACCACAGCCCAGGAACGGGTGTGGATTTCCCCTCATTCATATTTTAAAGCAGCTCTTTTCCACTGTTGGACTGACTCCTGTAACCCTGACGCGCGCGAACGCACACGCGAACACACACACGAACGCACACCCACGCAGGCACGGTACATGGTCATGTTTGTAATTAGTAAATGTATTTATTATAACCTCTATGTAATTAAACAATTAAACAGAAAACTATAGCTGGCGTTGTGGTTGGTTTTGTCGCGATCTGATTGGCTGCCGCGTTGGACTTTCGGATTTGAATTTGTTATTCGTTGGATGGCTGAAATTAGTTGTGTTGGGTTCTGGGTAGTTCAGGGGTGTCAAACTCATTTTGGTTCAGGGGATGTCAAGTGGGTCGGACCAGTACAATCATAACATAATTACCTGTAAATAACAATAAGTCCATGTTTTAACCCTTTGTTTTCCTGCAAATGTACAAATATGTTAGAAAATATATATATATATTTAATGAAACATTTGACAATTGTTCAACATTCATTAAATGGGCCGGCTTTGGCCCGCCAGCCATATGTTTGACACCCCTGGAATAGTCAGTCAAATTATTAAGTGTTTATTTGAAGGTTAGAACTGTCTGTTTTCTTGCTTCATTTGATGCGGGTCGGTTAGTTTGTTTTTCTGGTCCATCTCCATTTTACTTACTAGTAATTGGCTTGTTTACCCACATCATTTGGATCGCCTATTCAGTTGAACTCCAGCTACCTGAGGGCTTATTGGTTTGTTGTTATTTATCTATCCTTTTGCATCTGTGCATTCATTATTCACACACACACAAACAAACCGCGTCTCATCTTCCTCCCCGTTTCTCTATCACTTCCTCCCTGTTTCGCTCTCTCTCCTCATTGGCCGCTCCGGTGAAGCAGTGAGGAGCCAATGAGATTTTAGGACCGACGAAGGCCTTCGGTGACTGCTCACCTGGCAACAGGTGTTGATAAAGAGAAACATATAAAGGTGAGATGAGTGATCAGGTTTCGGCCGCAGCCACTTATGGCGACAATCACGAAGGCAGTTAAAGTTAAAGTTTAACCCAATCAGAAATGCTAACTGTACTTACAGTGCATCTAATGTTACTTTTCTGCCCTGTTTGATTTATTACCTCCAGTGTACTGTATATGATCTTCACGTGGCAACGGGTATGCAGGTCATTATATACAGCACATTCCCCTATGTGTGTGTGTCTGTGAGTTTGTGTGCGAAAAACACTTGGGTGTGTCTGGAACATGAGCTCCTGGAGCTGCTCCTTCAAAATAACCAGCCTCCACGCTGCGTGCACGCGTATTCATAATTCATTCAGGCTGCGCCCGCGGTGTTCGTCCTCACAGTCTTGGACTGCGTGATATCATCAAAACAGCGAGGCTGAAGATCGCATTTATCAGATGTACGATCAAGATTCTCTAGAGGTCTTTGACTAAAAAGCTATAGCTAGCTATGTTTGACACTTGTCCTTAATACGTACACCCAATGGTCCATGTAGGTCCACCTGTGGTAACTCGAAGGTGCACCACACCTCAGGCAAACTTTAATGCTATGTGGTCCAACTCGGGGTCTACAGTCAGTTTTAGGGCCAGAAACTTGCCTCGACCTGTCAGCACAAAACAAATAAAATCAGATTATTTTTCTTTTAGTAAAAGAAGATACAGGAAAAAAAATTTTTTTTTTCAACTTCTACACAATATTGTACTGGATGTGATGCAGAAAGCCTATCTGGATTACAGGACGTGTTCATTGAATTTTTTCACATTTTTTTACGCCTATGCATTATCCTGCCACCAGGGGACGTAAGTGGATCAGTTATTGATTTGATGGAGACGCGCGTTTGGAACATTGTGTACAAACAGTTCATCGGGTAACACGTGTTTGGTTTTTAAACAACCCTTAAGATTCTTAAGATTCGTGATGTGTTACGATAAATGTCCTGTTAAGACAAAAAAAAAAAGGAGTTCCCCTCTGGACGTCATCAATAAAGATTAGAACTAGGAGCTGTAACAGAAAGGAATTTTTCCGCATCCCTATTTATAAAACAAGCAGTAGCTAAAAATAAAAAAAAATCATGAGGAAAACAGAACATTTGATGTGATTAATTCAGCTTCACTTCAATGCTCTCCTCAAGACAACTGTTTCGCCCAAAGCTACGGCTAAGGTCTAAAGTTAGCTTGCAATTGACACATTTATTACGTTTTTTATATCCTATAGATATAGTCAAATCATTAGGACATATAATTTAAAAAAAATTAAAAAAAGAATTAGCTCATCTATTCTGAAAAATGGATATGCTAATGTTTGTCCAGGAGTTAGCTTATCAATGAACACAAATAGCTAAGATAAAGTGTGCCAAATAGCTAACTCGGGTGAAAGGGTTAGTTAATTAGCAGTTAGTTAATAAGAAAAAGTAATAATGCAAACGAAAACCATGACATAAAGAAGCTACCCTTCCTACTCCCTAAAAAAATAACAAATAGTAAAGCAGATGTAGCTAAACATTAGCTAAAGTGAGCAAATATATTTTCAATTCAGTGGTAGCTTGTTAATACATGTCATTGACCAACCATTCTGTAAAAATAAAGCATCAAATTAGTGATTCCTAACTACATGGAAACACGGGAAAAAAGTGTCATAAAGTCTATAAAGTCTTTGGACTCTCATCACTCAAAACAGACCAAATACACAGTATCTATAGAGAGAGCTGTTTCAAACTATACAGGGAGTCCTGTAAACACCGGTCGCGGGGTCAGTCGAGGTAACTCTATGGATCATCTAT